TTCACGAACCTTCCAACGGGGCTTCGCCCCGAAAACCACCGCGAATTGCATCGTCGGACCCTAATAGACCACGAAAAGTTAATACATAGCTATGCATCTCAAATAACAACTAGCATCATGCTAACCTCATTTTATCCCAACCTCATACCAATGTCATGTTAATCTTACGCCAGTTTTTTGTATCTTATTGTAAACTATCCTGTCATTTTTCTGCGCTTATCGAAAAAAAAATATCGCCTGCAACACGGGAGAAAGAGGATTTCGACTTATGTGATTGCTGCCCTCGTTTCTCTCGGGCGGCAAGCTACCCACTCATCAAAATCGTCTGTTTTCCTCCCTAGTTGTACAATCTCCTATGTTTTTTCTGTTACTTGAAAACCTGGTCAACATCTTCCCCATTCAAATTATTTAATAGCTCCATTATAACCCGAGCCTGAAAGAAGATTTATACCCTTGATCTACGGGTCACCCAACTTCTCTAGAGGAGATTCTCGATACCCGGGAATCTTTGCAGTTATACCATGATTTTCGCCGATCCGGTATATATATATCATTAAATATAACAAAAACATTGTCGACATGTTTCGGTGAAGAGGACTGAAAGTTTCAACGGTCATCTTGGATCTCTATGCAGAAAAATCATAAATATGTAATACTGAATTAATTTTTGCATATGAATATAGTAAATGCGTATTTGTATAAGTTTTACAGTTACTGAGGTTGTATTCGTATAAGGAATAATTAAGAATTGTGTGCCGTAAGATGCCTACAAGATTTGGAACAGACTGGTACACGTCGAAAAATTGCATGAAACTTACATCTCCATTTTTCAATTACCCGTGAAAATGTATCATGTAAATAATAATGCCGCTTGTAAATACTGAAGTACACACTGTTTACTTGCATTTATTATTACATTTTAAACAATATTGCCATATGCTCCTCAATCCCCCAAGTAGTAGCAATTGAATATGATACATTCATACTCAAGAACTATAAATAATCTTTAAGATTTACTTGCAATCTTACCTCCATCTTGATGCAAATATTCGCCGTGCTTAAATTCCTCGAAGTAACTAGGAGCTGCTGCTGAAGCTCTTACAGCTTCCCACAATTTATGTCTATATGATCCCATATACTGACTTTCTACTCCATATGGTAGTGTATAGTTTCTAAATACATAAGCCAGTATACGTTCGTGATTAACTATTGTTGAAACAGCTGAAATCTACATAATATTCAAAATATTATATACGTAATGTTTATATCTTACATTATGAATACCAGTAGTATAAACAACGGTTAAACCCTTTATAAGTCACAGAAAAATCCCTACTTTTGTAGCCGAGCGAACGGGGTTGGCGGTGGGGGCACGCGGACGCTCACGAGTGCGTGTAGGTAACTTTCGGGATAGTGCCGTACCTAGAAGTTGAAGAACACGAATATTTTGTAATATTTCAATGAAACATAAAGACTTAATAATATTTTATTTGCATTGATATAACCCATTATCTAAAAAAGAGTTAAAACTGACAGATTTTATTTTCAATGAACGTTTTAACCTTATTAATCGATCACTATCGAAAACCATATTACTGTATTATACATAGTATGTTAACAACCATTTTAATTATACTATTCAGACAAGTTAACGTCGTGTAAAGAAACACACAAGTCTTCTTTGACTCAGATTACATTAAGAGATTGTTTTCAGTGAGAATAAATAACGATCTGAACGTTCACCATAAATAAAGGATACAGAAGGTTAATAATTATGTCAACTATTACATTTGTTTTTCTTTTAAATTTTTAATTTAACCTAAAATATTATTCATTCGTTATCTATAAGCGGCATCGGGAATCGTAGCAAAAAGTCTCAAGCGGCACTTCTGAATTACGCCTAAGCGGCGGAACACCCGGGCCCACGTATACACTAAGGTACGTTCACTATTGCGTGACGGCATATTATTGGCTCATGTCCGAATGCTCCCTTCCCAAATACCCGTAGTCTTATTTCGGGACGTTTTCGGGCGGTGTGACTTATAAAGGGTTGAAGTCATTTCTGAACTTTCGAATTATGTTAAAAAACTACATGTCAATACAACTTGACAATTTATTTACATTTCTGTGCATTTCATTATATTGAGAGCATTATAGTTAACAAGTGTAAATTCATGACCATTCCGAAGAAATCTCCACTTATATAAATAACGTTAATCCTTTGAAGCATGGTGGTAACCCACGTTGCCACCTTAACTTCTTCAAATTTTGGCCATTTTATTTCTAGTTAACGCATTTAGATCGATTTTTTTGTATTTTTCAGGTATGTTAGCAATAAAAGAACGTACAAAGAGTTGAGTAATCATAAATATTTATTGTTAAAGTCATATAAATAAACAAATATAAAAAACCGGGGTATTTTTTAGAAAAACTCATTATTGACAAAGTTTTTTAAGATTATTTCTTGAACTTTTGTACAAAAGGGTATTTAGGGCCGCTTGTTCCCAAAATTCAAGATGGCGGATCCAATATGGACGACCAAAATGGAAAAAATTTCTGGATTCGGATAAAATTTGGCACTCATGGGTTTTTCGGATTGCTGATCACAAATTTGAACTAAAAATTGAAAATTCAATATGGTGGGTCCAATATGGCTGACTAAAAATCGGAAAACGATGAAAATCTCATGAAAGTGTATATCTGGAGGTTTCGGGATCGTTGCTTAATAATCCGTGGTATACATTCGATATTTTTCGCCATCACAAAAATCACGAAAAATATTTCAAAATCACAAAAAGAAAAAGTCTTTGTCGTAAGTTCTGGGTAGTGCCAAGAATAAGTGAATTTTTAAATGGTCAAATTTTAATTTTACATCCGAAATTAGTGACCCCGAACACCATCAAAATTTATATTTTCACCAATATTATCGCGGTTATTCATTTCGGTAGTCACTGAAGAAAATTGAAAGTTTAGTACGTCGATCTTTACAACTACCTTTACTTAAAGTACTGACAATGAGTAGCAGGCCATGCGCTTACGCCTAATACGTGCGCGAGATACAAGACAAAACTCTGCAAGATCATCAATATGAAAGGGCACGTTGAACTCGAAAATGATCAATCAATCTTTCGCGAACTGCTAGGAACTCTACGCATAATCTCTTACATGTCTTCGGATTCCATGTGACCAAACGTTTCCACCCAAGGGTCAGGGAAATCACTGCGATGTGCGTACCCATATTTTTATCGTAAGTGAACGGACCATCATACAGGGCAACTGAATGAACTCACAAGGAACATCACTTTAGTGTCCCCCTCCAATTTTAATGAAACTCAACTATGTTGTAGCGCTTGAAAAACTAAGAGACACGTCTTCTTTATCGGCATAAAAACAGTTTTAGGGGGTAAAATCAACCCCCAAAGTTCGGCATGTCGAGGGGTAATAATGCAGTTTCACCTAGAAGGGGTCGACCGATTTCAATGAAACAAAATCTAAAATGTTTCTCATCACGAGTAACGAAAAGTGTACCTAAACATTAAAAAGAAATTGTCTCTTGTGGGGATAAACCAGCCCTCAATTGTTCTTTTTTTACCACATTTAAAAAACTTACGATTGGAATTTAATGAAACGCCTACCATTTGAAAGAGAAAGTAAAATTACAGTTTACATGTTTTTGCTCTCCTGCATACCGATGCATGAATTTCTGTATAGAGCCACTTCCCGCGCAATTTCGTTCATATTGTTCGTTCGGTCGTACACGAACTGAACAATATAAAGACATATAAATATTGAAACGATTGCCAATATTCAGCGATCTTTACTTGCTACGTATATTATATAAAATTAATGTTGATAAATTCTATGTTGAATCAATCGTTAAAACAATACAGATGTTACAGTAAGAAAAATGTAGAGGGCGTATATTTACGCCTTTCGTATACATTGATAGATTTGTGAGGGCGTAAATATATGCCTTTCGTAGTTAAAGATTTAAGGCTTATCAGTAGTTTCTCTACATTTAGCACATAATCATTAATAATTTTGTTAACGGCCGCTCGTAACGTGGCGTTTTTCATAGGATACTACCTTAGTAATTCTAAAAACACATCAACCACAACAAAAATATTCTGGACACCACCTATCGCCCGTGGAAGTGAGCCATAGAGATCCACGGTAACTAGTTCATTTTGGCCTTTGGTTGAAACTATCTAATACTCGACTTCCCCAAATAAGTGCAGGGATTTTATACGTTGATACAACGCAACTGGATGCATGAACGGATGCGAACGATTACGTAAATGCACAGCCGCTGAGACTGCTAGGTTGAGGTAGAGAGGGTCAGAGTAAGCGTCAGGTAAATAGTGCCGGAAACAGAGCAATTGATCGAGAACGTAGCGGAACGAATCAGAACTATAAAATCAAAATTCTTCCACCTGTTATGGGGTAAGGTGCTATTTATAGTATAACTCTGTGCATGAAGAGTAAAACATAGAAGGCGGAGACTGGTGTGACGGATATGTGTATCCACTGTCCCCGTTTGCAAAACAAACTGGCGGGCTCTTGCCCCGTTTTCGATGCAGTTGTTCGATTTGCTGTGCAAGAATGAACGGAACACTTGTCCCTTTCTAATGTGAAGCACTTGCACTATTTTAATAACGAGTACTTGCTCTGTTCTATTGACGAAGTCACAATCCTTTCTCGTGCGTGTCTGCTTCATCGGCTCACTCTGACCAGACTGACTGCACCTCGTCGTTCCTCGACGCTGGTACCCACAAGGTTACTGCATAAGCATTTTCAACTTTAGCGGATGCCCTTATAAGGCAACATTACTTGCAATTTTCAGAACTACGATAGCATAGGAACCTAGGGTTCCTAGCTCCTTTATGCTCGAGGTGGTTTTTAGTATAAAGGTAAGGTCAAACCTGTTGACGACGGACGCTGGTAAGCGTATTCTCGTCTCTTGATACTTAGAGATTGCCTTGGAGACATAACACCTCTCGGTGTGACCGTGGGATTTGATCGTGGGATACAACACACCAATTAATAAATTGAGAGTCTCCACCGGGGCTGGTTCAGCTAATTCGCGAAGGCCAGTAGTATAAGATTGGGGGTTCTGGATATAGATTCCTGCACCGACATAATACCGACACTCTAGAATATTCGAAGGTGGGTGTCCGTGCTAAGTTACCGTCGTGAGCTCTATGATTTTCGGAAGTGATGTCATCAGGGGTTCTGGATACAGATTCCTGAAACCGACATATACCGACACTCTAAAACCTTCGAAGGTGGGTGTCCGTGCTAAGTTACCGTCGTGAGCTTACGATTTCCGGAAGAGACGTCATCAAGAGCCCTCGATTCCAAGAATTTTCGTTCGATTCCGGGAATTTTGCGTCATATTCCTGGAATTTCGCGCTCGATTCTAGGAATCACACGCGATCGAGAACCTTCTAGAACATTCTAGAACCTTCTAGAACATTCTG